GCGACCCCCCAGCCGGCCCCGACGGAGCCTTGGCCATCTTCCTCCCTCCTTCCTCCGCCTTCGGGCAGCAAAAAGAGAGAGGTCGCCACGTGGTCGCCAAACAGTCCCCCCCGCCCCTCGCCCACCCTACAAGCCACGCCCCCAGCTATTGGGGGGGATCTCCGAGGCCATCGATCCCCTCCTGCTTTCAAACAACCGTCCTCCTTTGGTAACTGATTTCCCCAGATTTGTGCATACAAAAAAACCACAACAACCCTGTATATATTTAGTATTTCCCCAGATTTGTACAAAAAAACCCAACCCCTATATACCTGTACTGTATATATCTATGTATGATTTCTCCAGATTTGTGCATTTTAAAAAATCTATTTATGGTTTCCCCAAATTTCTGAAAAAAATATATATATATTTATGCTTTCCCCAAATTTGTGCAAAAGAAAATTAGATTTAAATGTAAAATTTATACATAGAAACATTTGGAAACAGAGCCAAGATTCCAAATCCACGTTCCTGGGGCATTCGGGGAGCTGTAGTTCCCCAAAGTATCTTTTGCAACTTCCTCACTTCTCATTTCCAAAAAAATGCTTTCCAAGCGCTGACCCTTAAATCAAACAGAAAGGCCTATCTTAATTCCCCAGGGATAAATTCATCAGGTGCAGTTGGCACCTTTTTCCATTCTAGCAAAGATGGGTAATGCCTCACCAGGTGAATTTCTGCCTGTTCCAAGAATTTTGTCTGTTCTGTGTCGTGTGTGTGTGTATATAAATACTTTTAAAAAAGATTAGTGTCCTGAATCTCCCAGTGGTTTGAGGATTTTGGTTGTTGTAGTCCAAGATTCATTCCCTCTAAAATGCTAGTCCACTGATTACTGTATATCTATTCATATATTTTAAATATGCAAAAAAAATCTGCCCTTAAATTGTTGCAGGAAGGCAATATAAAACCAGGCGTTTTTGACTTTAAAGATTATATTGACACACACTTTTCTTTAAAAATTAATAATTACCAGCACTTTTTTTGCCCATAACCAGGATCATTCCTAGAAAATAAGAATTATTGGTGGGTGATGTCAATTACTGTCTTTAGCAAAAATCAACAATAGTTTGCAGTAATTATAATTATTTCAGCAACTACAATTCCCAATGCTCCAAAGCAGTTTGGAATTTGCAAGCATATGTACAGTCTTTCTCTTGTCTCCCCTAATCACAGCTTTAGCAAAAACAATGTAATTTTAAGAGAAAGGGCAATAGGCCTGATTTTAAAAGAAAGAGACATGAGTTGAAAACACAGCATTTCAAATTCACCAGGAAAAAAAATGCAGGAAATTTGCAATGCGTGATCTGCCAGTCCCCTATTAAGTGATTTTTAAAAAATACATTTAACTGACTGTAAAAGGAGGCACCTTTTAATTAGGCAGCAGACTCTTAATTTGAAAAAAAAAAACAATTTAAAAAATAAACATTTCCCCTTATCTCTCCGAGGGGGGAGGATATATTTCTTGTTCCAGAATGATTGTTTTGATTTCCTCCTATGCATATGCGTCTTAGTCTCATAGGTTTACCTTTTAAAAAGTAATATAACTGAGTTAAAATGAATGATCTGAGGGTGTGGGTGATATTTAAGGATACTTACTTTGCTTGTTTATCATGCATTTTTTCTTAATCAATATTAAGCTTTTTTAAAAAAAACTGCTTGGATTTGACTGCTCTTTTCTTTTTACAAGTATCATATTTCTCATTAAGATGCTACAGTATTTTTTTAAAAGTGAAACACTGTCCAGAAGCATACTTAACTCATTATATGCCCTTCCCAACATCTGGGTCAAAGCAGAAACCTAAAACCATGCCTGTTGCCCTGTGTCACCAGATCAAAATATTTTGAGGGAACATTCTGGATTCTGAAACGGTCCCAGAGATCTAGCCTTAAATAGCTGTCCTGTTATATGGTTACTGAATGATGATTTAATGAGAATCCTACTGGATTTTTTTCATGCACTTCAAAGGAATCGCAGAAGTTGCCAAAACTTATTCAGGAGGCGTGGGTTGTGTGCCTCATCATGCACCCGGCACACCTTGGCAATTAGCCATGATTCAAAATTCCCTAAATAGCCACACCTACTAGGATCTAGCCATTCAAATGTATTTTTAATGGCGGGAATTAAAATAAAAAGGAGGCTCAGCTTCTTTGCCACTCCGAGTTACAAACTTGGCAGGTGAACCCTAAAAAGCCAAAACAGGTTTGTGGGGAGGGAAAAAAATCAAATTGAATCACAAAGCATGCACAAACCACACAGAGAAGCCAGGTTCATGTCTCCCCCAAGCTCCAAAGCTTTATTTCATAGCTGGATGATGTTCATTCATGCACCACACTCTGCCACTGCAATTGAGGGGGCTGTGAAACATCCATACACTGAAAGAGTTTTTATTGGATCCACAGATCATCAAGTTGCATTTCCCTGCAGAGGATATGGAGAGCGGGATAAACATAGCCACCAAACCCTTCTTGGACGGTGGCACTTGGAGGTTTCAGAGATCAAAAACTCTGCGGACGGAAAAAAAGGAACTGCTCCATCAGACCGCTGCCTGGAAGGTGTGGAAGAAAAAAAAAGGCATCAGAAACAGGTAAGAATTATATTTACTTGGTGTACCTTAAATGCTAGGAGAAATTAAAGGGAGCAGAAAAAAGGCCAAATAAGAGATAAACTGATTCCATAAAGGAAGCTCAGACCCCAGAAATCCTTTACAACGACCTTGAGTTTACAAGAGCTGAGTATAACTACATCACAATAAATCTTATTTTCCTTTAAGATTCCTCAATATTTGGTTTTTGTTTGGTTTTGTTGAGCCCACTGGCACAGACTAACAAAGCTCCCTCTCTGGAAAAATTAAAAGCGTATGATTTGTCAGCTGCCGAAACCATCCCTCATGGTTTGTTGCTGGCTTACAAACTCAGGTTTGTTTAAACCATGACATCCAAACCATGGTTTGTCTCCCTCCTTACTCTAAAAATGGATAAAAGAACAAGAGAGGGAGAAAAAGCAAGCTGAAATGGGGGAAACGAACCAGTTTCTCTGTTGTGCAGCCTGTGGTTTGAGCAAGCCATGGTTGTTCTGTCTGTCCTGGGTGTTTGGGGAATGATTAACACAAACCATGATAAGCAAAGAGGGTTGAGCTATCTGGTAGCTAAATGTTTAGTTACCAAATGTAGGCTTTGCAGTTGTTTTGCTTCGTGATTTTGTGTTGAGCCTGTGAACCCCCTGTGCCAAGATTTGGGGGTGATTTTTCTTAGCGGGGGGGGGGGAGAACCAAACCACTTTCCCTTCTCTGGCTCCCAATTTCTACCAAGGTGTCCTTTTATTTCCCCCCCAACTTCCCTGAAAACCCACCCTGTGGGGCAGTCCGCCAGCTCAGTTGTCGGTCTTAAATTTCCCACCGATCCACGGGACGTACTGCAGAACCAGTTTCCAGTCGGTCATCCACACCACGGCAACTGCAGTCATGGAGCTCCACGTGGCCACAGTTGGGGACCTGTGGGGGGGGGGCAGGAAAGGGAAAACAGAGGTCTACCAAAACCAGAGGCTTTCTTTAAACAAAAATTATTATTTTGTTTCTTTTAACCAAAATAAAAATGGGGCTGTCTCAAGCCCTTCCGTGACATTTCCTAGCTCCTATTTTCCTTAAAAGGCTGGTGGGCAGCAAGAAGAGCAGGCTAGTGCCTCCCCAAAAAAGGGGATGGTCCCCCCTCCCATTCTCTTAGCTTCTTCCGCAGACCTTTAACCCCCCCTCCCAAAAGCAAAAATACTTTGCAGCTTTTGAGGCCACCACGTTCACAAATAAATTTATAGCCATATGTGCTTTGGAAGCCAAGATTCTGTTGGGGGCAGGGGAGTAGGGGTCACAGATTTCCCCCACCCACCCTGGAAACTGGGGGGGGGCTTTGGCGGGGAAAGGGAAAAGAACTACAGCTAATCAAAAATCAATCAGGATCTGTTTCCTAAAGGCTGTCCCATGTTGGAAGCAACCTGAACAAAAAAAGGGGTTAGGGTGATCCAAAAATAAAATAAAATACAGTAAATCAATCCAGAAAGAGCTGAGCCTCGTGCAAAGGCCGGGGAGGGGTGGGGTAACCTCCCCCCCCAAGAGGCAATAAATGTTTTTTTAAAGGGATCATAAATAAATAAATGAATGAAAAAGCTCCCCCTATCCCAAAAAAGAGGATTTTAGGGGAAGGGAAGAAGCAGGAAGCTAAACTGCAGGGAAAAGATGTTGGGGGGTAGGATAAAAAGAAGAGCTGCAATTGAGGGGGGTTCAACTTGGGGGTAATCCTTCCCCCCAAAATGCAATACTGGGAGGAGCTAACCCCACGCCCCGCCCCGACTCACCAGTGGCGGAAGAGCTGGAAATAACGAGGCCCCATGAACTTCATTAGCTTCATGCTGAGCCCAAAGTCACCTTCCCGTCTGCGCAGGCGCGGCAGGTGCCGGCCCTCCCCTCTTTTTAACGAAGATTGAGTCCCGCCTCCAGGGCGCGCAGGCGCACTCTGCCCGCTGGTGGTCTGGTTCTCGACGGCGGCACCTGCTCCTCTTCCGGCCGCCCTCTAGGTGCGTTCTGTCCTCGGAACGCATGCGCTCCGCGCCTCGCCCGTGCCCTTTCTCCCCGCCCCTACGGCGCACGCGCAGCGCTCGCGGATGCCTCCATCAACCCACCGCCGGCCTATGGAAGGACCCCACGAGAGGGCGGCGCGAACGCTAGGGTGGGGCTGTCCATCTCGCTGCCTGATTGCAAGTAACATAGGGGTGACGGCATCGTTACTTTTCGATAGTACGCCTCCCAGAATGCTCAAAGAAAAAAAAATCCCAAGGCAGAATTCCAGAAAAATTTTTCCGGACTACAAACCCCAGAATCCATCCCCAGCAGAATAGAAAGCTTAGACTCGCCCCCCCGCCGCCCCAAACTCCCAGCCCCCTGAATTCAGAACTTGGAAACGGTCCACCAACAACTACATACAAATCCCCAAATCTCTGGGCAGCTGGGGATTCTGGAAGCTGTAGTCCAAAATTATCATAATATTCCCAACCACTAAATTCTCTCTGTGCATCCCTTTTAAATGATATAGTACTGTATACTGTTACTTTTCTACTGAGAGTCCTCGGTTTGAAGGCAGAAATAAAGAACTTGTCCTGCTTTTCGACTCTGACTCCCATGAGCTGCAGCCAAGGGTCAAGCAGGATAGGGAATGTAGTCTGGCATCTCTAGGCTTCCCCTGGTTCACTTGAACCTTTAAAGATAATGCCTAAAAAAGGAGGGCCGAGACCCCTTGCGTGGCCGAACTGCAGTAATTTATTTATTTGTTTGATTGATTTCTATCCCACCCTGGTAGCCGAAACCAACATCATTTTCTTTTCACTCTGGCAAGATTAAATGATTGTGCAAATACAGTCAGCACATGCAAATCAGAATGTGCCAATTTTACTGAGACTGTGGGCTAAACCGCAGAAGCCTGTGCTGCAGGGTCAGAAGACCAGCAGTCGTAAGTTCGAATCCACGCAACGGAATGAGCTCCTGTCGCCTGTCCCAGCTCCCGCCAACCTAGCGGCTCGAAAGCATGCAAATGCGAGTAGATAAATAGGGACCACCTCGGTGGGAAGGTAAACAGCGTTCCGTGTCTAAATCACACTGGCCATGTGACCATGGAAAGATTGTCTTCGGACAAACGCTAGCTCTATGGCTTGAAGAGCGGGATGAGCGCCGTCCCCTAGAGTCGGACACGACTGGACAAAAATTGTCAAGGGGAACCTTTACCTTTTCATGTTTTATGGTATTTGTGTGTGTTGTATACTTTCCTGTTATTTCCATATACCAAACTGCATTCATATCTTGCACTTATTTTTACGATTTCTGTCCGTTTCCCCCTTGCACTTAATATTTTCTCCTTTAAAAATAATGGTGTGCAGTTTTATTACTCTCTTGATCTTGATTATTTTTCTAGCATAAGCAAACATGGTTTATATGAAAACATAATAAGGATTTAAATTAAAACAATATAACACAGGAGTTTCCACATTGCCTTCTTTCTAATACTGTATTCAGAAAATATTCCTATTTTTTGTCCAATAATATATAGTCCAGTTTTGTTGCCCAGGAAGGGCAAAATGGAAGGAAAAGGCTTAGGCACCCCAAAGGAAACTTAGTACAAGGTAAAACCTTTATTACAACTTTTTCATTGATAGGTATACAACATCTGAAAGACAGATACAGGGGAGGGGCGGAAAACAAAAAAAGTAATATTGTTATAAAATGTCACATTTATTGCTACATTACTGTTATATACAAGACAGTTCTCAAAATTCTACTTTTAAAAAAGTTAAGGATTATTTAAAAATTCCAAATAATCCAGCCAGCTGTTTTTTTTATTTTCTTGACACTTGTATAAAATTATTATTATTTCTTTTTTCTTTTTTTTTAAAAAAGGAACACAATCCATATCTTGAGGCACTCGGAAACACAATTTAACCCCCCCGTGCTCCCCCAATTCCAGAAATTGTGATTCAGTCCAAAAAATGTTCCCCATACTACCCCCCTCCCACAAATACTTTTTTTCTGTTTTCCTTTTTTTAAATTGGGGTTAGGCATATTTTTTATATTTATATTTATATATATATATATTTATACTATATATATATCTTTCAAAACTATAATGTGTATCTGATTTAATAACAAGGTTTTCAGCCAACTAGGTGCAGCTGGATTTACACAAAGGCAGCAAAAGAAGGAAAGAATGAATGAATGAATGAACGAACGAACGAAACAAAGAAACCACCAAGACCCCAATCCAAATAAAGTTGAAACTGTAGCCCCCCAAAAAAGAAAGCAAAGGGACTTCAGCTGATGTGTTCATATCTGTGAGACACCATCTAGCCGGATGGTGGCTGCCGCCACCTCCCCCCCGGCTGCAAGAAAAGGACCCATTTTTAAATTTCATTTTTTAATATATATATATAAACATCCCACAACAAAAAAAAACAAACCCTCAAAACAAAGTTAAGAGGTATGCCTCCCCACCCGTCCTAAAAAAATATATCTTAATGGGAATCAAGTTACATTTTGTTCTGCACTGCTTGACCCCTATATATTTTTTTTAACTAAAACGTTATTTTTTTTCTATGATGCTGTTTCTCCTAAGACTTTTTTTGTCGTCCCTTTTTGACTCCTAAAACCCCATCGGCCTTCACCCTCCCCACCAAAACGAAAAACAAAACCATCTCAAGATTTTTTGGGGGGTGCCATCTTCTGTTACAAACCTAAACTGGTTTCAAACCTGTTTCCTTGCCATTTCGAAGCTCCTGGAAGCAGGGGGTCAGGATAATATAGGTCTAAGAGAGTGGGCCCACAGAGGGTGGCCAGTAATGCTTCCCCCACCACAAAAATTATCCACACCTTCATGAAACAGCAGGACTTCTTCCCCAGTTACAACAGGTTTGAAACTGGTTTAGAGCTTGTAGTGTAGACACCCCGTTAGAAACCCTTCCCCATCAACAGAAGACCTGCAAACAACAGAAAACAAAACGAAACAATGAACAACTTAAAAAAGGAAGGAGGGGAAACTAGTGTGTGTGTGTGTGTGTGTGTGTTTAAGCAGGTTAAAGAGATCTGGCGTTAAAATAAGGTTCTCCCATTTCTCACCTTGCAGAGATATTTAACCAGAGCAGTGGTGGGGTTGGAGAAATGAGCACGCTTTTGTATCTGCATGGAATTTTGCTCATCAGGACTCAACCAGCCCTCTTGGTCTCAGGGAGGCTCTTATGGTGTTGTCTCAAGAGATTTCCTCCTCTTCTATTCCCGAGGAGAACTTTCTCCAGTTTTCTAGCTTGGTGCGGATGTGCCGACGCAAGGGTGAACACCCACATCTGCAGTCAGAAACTGAGACCACTGAAGCTGATACCTACAATGGCTTCACTAATCGTAGGTACCAACTCTTCCCCCTTTTCCGTGTGGGAGACTAAGGCTGTGGCCCAGGCAGAAATTCTTCAGGTCTGGCCAGATGAATCCCCAGGAGGTCCCCTTTTTCTGCCAGGCTTTCTTTCTTCAAAGAATCAGCTATGTTGGGTGGGGAGGTCAACGAGACGCTTGGCATTCGTGTATGGCCCTCTCTAATTTCTCCCCAGAACCTCGCTGTTTGTAGACTCCGGGGCCCATGACCCAGCCTCAAATCCATGCCTCTCCCCAGAAGCCATGTCCGCAGGCACAGAACACACCTTCCTCCCTTTTGGGCTGCAACGTGGGAGCACAAAGGAACGTAGCCAGTGGGTGAATCTGCCATCAAACCCCTCCTTCCCATCTGGGACTGATGCAAAGAGACTGAGACTGAACCTTGCAGGCAACAGAGGGGAACGAAGATTCGACCAGCTTTCTCTCCGAGAAAGGGAATCCATGTGTGCATGTGAATACAGGATGCAGGGGAGACCAAACCGCTCCAAACATCCATTGGGAGATGGGACCTTGACCAGCCGGTGGCGGTTCTTCCAATCTTCTGGACCACAACAGCTGAGCTTATGTCTTATGAACAAATCCGTCCTGGTGCACGATCGGTACCAGATCATTTCCTTTGAAACATATTGCAACAGAGGGGATTCACCTGTCATGCATATCTTCCTCGGAGGGGGGAGGGGTTGCTTTTGCTGGATGCGGCCGCTTTTGTTCTCTCTCTCTCTTTTGGTCCAGAGTGCATCTTTTCATTTTGTTCTGCCTCCAAGCTGATTGATAGCGTTGGAACTTTTTGTCGTTCTTGTTTTTCTTGGCTCCCAGCTTTCCTGCCTCTTGTTCCCCCCTTTGGATCGCTCCAGGGCATGAAGAAAAATGTGCCTTTTGAAGGCGGAATCTATGTCCTTTTTCTTTGCACCCGCTTCTTTTCAACATCTGGGTTGTCCAGGACACGCGATGGGCTGGTTTTAGGGCGGTCTTCCATTAAGACCCGCACCCTACAACACCGAGGAAGCGAACTTCTTTCTCCTTATAATCCCTTTGCCTCCCCTTAAAAAGGGGCCACTGTACTTTTTAAAAAATTCCACGTCTAGAGGGAGATGGAAGAGAGCATAGCAAAACCTAAGACTTTTAAAGCATCTTTTAAAAAGATTTTGGGTCGCAACGCTGGATAATTCCGTTGTCAACTTCTCCCAAAACCCTTCCGTATCCAAAGACATTGAGTGGAAAAGAGATAAAACCAGTACATTCTGTTCTTTTTTTTTTCATATATAATGGAAGTCACCAGCCAATTATGGACATTTATTAGCCCTGCCTTGCTGAATCCACCTTAACAGCTTTTCCAGAGCTGAAATAACAACACACAAGTCCCATTGACTCTTCTTTTTCGGTTCCTCTGTTTCTTTTCGAACATCTGGTCTCTTCGTACAAACCTTTTTTTAAAATAATATTTCAGGTTGATCTTATTTCAAAAATAATATGCAACGTGAATGATAGAAACAGCAGCAGAAAAAAAATCAAGCATGGGGAAAAAGTCTCTCTCTCTCTTTTTACACATTTTTCCGTTGTTGCTTACAAAACATATATGCAAAAGAAGCTCTTTTTAAAAAAACAAAACAAAACCCAAAAGGCATTACTATGTTTGTTCTACGTTAAAAAAATGATCATAACTAATGTTCTTTTTTTCCCACCCACCCACCCATCCAAAACAGAAAGACAAAGAAAAATAATAAACGCATAGGCACAATTTTGTTTTTCCTGCTGGCCTTTTGTGAACAAGCCACTTGTATTTTTTAAAAAAAGATCCCCCAAGGATATGTATCAAGAGTTCCACAATATACACTTAAGGCAAACTTTGCAGTTGGTTTTGTGTATGTTTTTCTTCTCTTATTCTGATTTGACAACGTCGTTGCTTTTCTTTTCAAGTTCCTTCTAGCAAGCTGATAAGTCCGTTGCCGTGCGTCGGGTATTTGAAACAGGGCTGCGCAGTTTTTGCTTCGTTTTTGGTGCAGACACACGTCGGGGCATGTGTTTGCGTGTGAGTCAGTAAAATGCCTTTCCCTTCTTCCTTGCGGACGTCTGCTCCCCACGTAAAGTAAAAACCTGCAAAGAGACAATCCGTTAACTATTTTATTTATGAGCGCTGTTTATATTCAACCTTTTCCCTCACGGAGCTTGGAAATCACATGTCAGGGAGCAGCGATGTCACACCATACCTTTGAAAAATTGTGTGACTTTATTTTAGCCTTTTATTATTTGGATTGTTTTAATGGGCTTTGCGGATTAGAATTCCTTTCCAGCCGGTGAGCTGCCTGGATGGCAGTTTGGCTATGTTTTAAGTGGAAAGGCAGGAGGGATAAAGAGATCGAAGTATTATTTATCACTTTAATTTATACACTGCCCCATCCGTGCTGAAGCACTATTTTGGGCGGCTTACAAGCCGTTAAGATCACACAGCACAAACACTCAAGACTACATGGCAACACAAAGGCCAAAAGAACAGCATTAAAAAAACAACATTTAAACCCATGGCGCCCAAACAGATTCGCCAAATGCAACAGGACAGGAGGCGAGGCCTTGAACTGGGGTTGACGCGAAAGTCCTCCCCTTTCAACGGCCCCCTAAATGAGGACAGAAAGGGGGCCAGGCATAAGCTCCTTGGCAAGCCAATGGCACCACCTCGGTGCTCCTGCAGAGAAGACCCTGCCTCTTGTAGGTGACTTTTGGGCCTCTCTTGGGGTGGCTTACCTGGTGGATCGAGCCGATGACCCTGGGGAAAGACCAGATAACGTGGTCCCAAACCCTGAAGGGCTATAGACGTTGCAATTATATTTTTACGTTTGCAAGAGGCACAGGATAGAGACACGCTCGTAAGGGGTCGCTTGAACAGGTCCCCTTCTCCCCTTCCAAGGGGAGCAAAAAACCACCCCATTCAACAGATGCCTTGAAAGGTTACCTTTACATATGTCCTACAGGGTTGTGTCCTTCGCCCAGACCCGGATGAGAGGCTGAAAGGGCCATCTGGGGGTCCCCCACGACGCCAGACACTTTCTCTTCCTCACGACGCTTCAAACAAGCTGCCTTGGGGTTCAGATTGCGTTCTGTTGGGGGTTGGGGGGGTGTTTGGGGAAGAAGGGGGAACCATGGGGGGAAAGAAAGAGCACCCACAGAGTCAGCAGCCAGATCCACAGGGGTGGGGTGGGGATGACAGAAAACAACAACAACCACCCAACCACCTTAATTTTCCCTTCCCACACCCTCCCCAAGGAAGCGCGAGAGAGGAAACACAGCGAGAACGAACATGCACCAAGCCCCCAGAAACCTGCAAGACGTCCCAGCCAAGAGAGAAGCAGGTCTCGGTTCCTTTGGCTCTAGTTCCCCCCCCCATGGCCGCCAACCTCTCCCTCCCTCGAGGGATCCTTTCCACTCCAAAAATGCAAACCCAAACCAAAGGTGCCCCCTCCCCGCAAGCAGGACAGAGCAAAAGGGACGGGCAGAGATCGAGAGAGGCACGCACAGAGAGAGAAAGAGAGAGGACAAGCCACAGATGGGCATGCCCGCGGAAGAGAGGGCGACTTCGGGGGGTTTTGGGGTGGGGTGGGTAGGGGTGCCGCCGTACCTCGAACTTGCTGCTCCAAGCCTAGAATGACTTGCACCGCTTGCTGGAGGATGATGAGCTTGGTCTGGGCTTTGTCTGTTTTTAAGTGCAACTGGCACATGCGTCCCAGCTCTTTAAAGGCCTCGTTTATGTCCCGCACACGCACCCTCTCCCTGGCGTTATTGGCCATCCGCCTTTCCCGGTCCCTCAGGTCCTTGTCCTCCAGGGAGAGCGCCTCATCCGTACTGCTATGTTCACACAGCATCAAAGGGGTTAGTCAGGGACCAGACGTCGTGACTGGGTTCGGAAGGCGAAAAGGGGTGGGGGGTGTCGGTGCCAAGGTGTGATGGGGGAAAAAGGTCCACCGTGTGACTTAGGAGGTCGAGCCGGTGCACTGGCCCGATCGGGAAGCGAGAGGACCCCTTTGGGGACGCCTGAGAGATAAGGGGTGGCCAAACCGACCCGGTAGCCCAGAAACAGGCCGCCCCCCTCCTGCTGCATTTCGCCCACTTGAGACTACAGATCACATTCTCTCCATTCATGCAAGGAGGGCAGGTTCAGGGGGAAATTAAAAAAAAATGTCTGGAAGGCACCAGGTGGCCTGCTCCTGCACATCCTTCTTGGTAAGACTAGGTACATGGATCCAGTTAAGTGCAATTATTATTTCCCGCCCCCTCCCCCGTTCACTAGACCGTAACTTTGCAAGCCAGGAAGATGACTTCTTCTTTGCCACTGGGGGGAGCCGCCGTAACACAAAACAGCCAATTGGAAAAGGATTCCCCATAACTCTATAAACCCCACTTCTGTGTGTGTGTTTGTATGTGTTTAAGGATTTATAAAGCTAGGTCTACGCTAGACCTTCTCCCTCCTTTCACTGTGGAACAAACGAGGACCTGAAAAACAGACTTTATAAATCCAAACTGCACAGTTAAAAATCAACCTACCTACCTACCTCTCTCCCTCTCTCTCTCTCTATATATAAAGATATATGGTTTCTTACAACAAGCTTCGATTCATAAACCAAGAATCCTGGTTTGTTGGGATGCCGTCACCCAGGACACAGTCACTACACTTGGCTAGTTGGGGACTTTATTTTGCTTAGCCACACTCACTGGCGGGAGGGGCGAAACTGGAGCTCCCAAACAACAAGCCCTGATTCTTCGGGATCCTGGCTTCGAATTTTCCATGAACAAAATATGTGTGAAATTTTGGCCATTTGTGGACATCCAGCAGAAGTTAACTATGCCTGTTGTCCTGTTTCTAGCACTACCTAAACACACAGCTGTGACAAAATACTTAGCTTTGTTCCACCCAGAAACTGGCAAAGGGAAGAGGCGTCCAGAAGGACCTGCTCCTAAAGCCACCGTAAACCTTGGCAGCCCCTTAAGCTCCCGGCGTAATGTCACGCAAGACGTCCACCTCTTTTTCCTTCCCGTTCCATCCCACCGCCCATTTTCTCCCTGGCTTCTCAAGACAGCCTTCTCCCCCAGAGCAAACACATAAAAAACAGGGAAGGGGCGGGGGGGATAATAAAAAAGATTACGCAGAAGGACCAGTGCCACTGCCTGGAAGCAATGAGCTGAGCCGAAATTTAAGTCAAACAAGTGGGTGAAAAGGAGCCCTGGAAAAGCAGTCAACTGGGTTCGTTCTGATGGGAGGTTTGACTCCCCTTTGGGGTGAGAAATGCAAAAGGCCTGGGGTCCTCAGATAAAGATGGTGGAACAGAACCGAGGGCGTGGGTCGGTCGTCCTCTCTTCTTTTGCAAAAATGGCGAAAGCCGATGCAAAAGCTGGCCAGGACATCTTGTTCCTCAAGACATCCAAGGCTCACTGGGGACAAGAGCCCAACCATAACCAGAAGCTTCTTTACTCTTTCAACTGCACCAAAATCAAACAACCCCCCCCAAAAAAACTTGACTAAAACACTCAAAATGAGCTCCTAAAATTCACCTCTGAGGAGTTACCCACAGATTTCTCTGCGACGGTTTGCCAAAAACACCCTGGGTTTTGTTACGGGACCACCTACTGCCCTGCTCACCGGCCCGGCTGGAACCCATCGGAAATTACTTCTCAGTCAACTCGGGCTGCACCAGGGCAGGTGTTAGCGGCAGCTTTGACTGACCGCCAGCTTCAAGAACACACAGGCATGTGCAAATTCATCTGGACCCATTAACGGCCGAGTGCGGTTTAAATGCACGGCAATTCTCGACTGAGAATTATACTAGAGGATTCCTATGTTTTAGATATATTCAGAAAGCTGGGGCAGGCATTAAAGAACTCTCTGGATCGCGGGCAACTGTATCCAAAACAAATACCCAGAGGAACTGCGTGGAAGAGAGTTTTTTTTTTTTTTTAAAAAAGGATTTTACAAAGCAAGTCATCTATGTGTCATTAAAAGCAAATCATCTACAGTGGGGTCTTGACTTGAGAACTTAATCCGTATTGGAAGGCGGTTCTCAAGTCAAAAAGTTCTCAGGTCAAATCTACATTTCCCATAGGAATGCATTGAAAACCATTTGATCCGTATCTGCTCTTTTCCGTCCATAGAACTAATGGGAAGCTGCTATTCCGCCTTCGACCACTAGAGGGGGATATTTTGTTTCTTTTTTTCTTAGGTCAAGAAAGGTTCTGGGAAGGCAGGGAAAATACAGTCCAGGCAGGACAGTACCACGCAGTTTGAAGACTGTCTCCCAATCCACTCTCTAAACGCTGGGAGGAGTGAGGAAGCAGACAGGCACCCTTTTCACTGACCAACAGTTAACTGAAAGTTCAAATTTTGCACTTTCCCTGCCTCCCATGTGTTTTTTTTCAGTTCTTAACTCAAATCTAAGTACTTAAGTCAAGTCAATATTTTCCTATGAGAGCAGTTCTTAAGTCAAAATGTTCTTAACTCAAGCCGTTCTTAAGTCAAGACCCCACTGTAGTTCTTTGGAAGCCGGAGAGGCAGGAGGACAGAGTGTGTGTGTGTGTGTGGGGGGAGACCAGGCTCTGACCCTGGACTAGGAAAAAGAAGGAATCTGTCCATACCCATCTGATGTCTGAGTTCCCGGGCTGCCATTGAGCTGAAGGCCGTAAGTGGCCACGGGTGAAACATTCAGGGTTTTTTTTGGGGTGTGGAAGGGGATGGTTGGTTTTTTGAAATGCACTCCCGTGCCTACAAGCTGAGCTGCCACGCTGGCACAAGCGGAATCGACAAAGGATCAGAAATCTATCCTATGCTATCGCTGAACAGGAGTGCGAATGAGAAGAAGCGGAAGTCACAGAGAGGATTTCCGGGGGTGGGTGGGAGGCACCAGCTGGAAGTGAATCGTTCAGAATCCCAAAACAGAAGTGGGACGGCTACCCTTCGGGGATGGCTTTAAGTGCAGCCTTCTAGCAGGGATCGGAACTTGAGTGGCTGGACCCTCGGTCAAGTTGCATTGGTGGCTCATCTCAGATTCGTCTCAGGTTTTTCTTTTTCAGTGAGTCAGACTGGACTCGCAACTCAGAACCCACCCAATCCTTCCCTTTTTTCTGGGGGAGAAAAGCTTGTTTTTAACAGGGACTCGGTTCCTGCTTTCTAGCTACAACAAGGGGGGGGTTGAAATTAGGCGAACTTTCTGGACCCTTCCCATTCTACCTTTCTATGCCTCTATGGGTTTCACCAGCCGGGTACAGCTTTGCTGATCTGTGAGCTTCAGGTGGGTTTTTAAAACTGGGAGAGGGGGATGAGAGCAGAGACCCAAGATTTGAGAGCAACACAGCAACTCTCGCTCACAGACTGCTCCTTCCTGGCCACCTCCCTGGTGATTGTTTCCATCTCTCTAAAGAAGCAGCAAGTGCAAGGTAGCGGGAGGGGACCACCGAGGGGTCACGGCTGAGGACTGTCTGTAGGAAAAGCAGGAAAGGGGTGATAGAGAAGGCAGAAAAGAAGGAAACAAGAACAAAACAAAAAGAGGCACAAGGAAAACAAAGGAAGAATATATAGATACATAACAAAAAATAGTTTTATGCATGTTAAAACAGATGAAAAGGGGAAGGCGGGCGTTAAAAGATCAAGGAGCAGGAACACATTTCAGCATCGCAGCGGGACAGCCGAGCCAAAAACAAAAACAAACAAACAAACAAAAAAACAGATTCGCGATCTTTGTTCATATAAAAATTAAAACAATTTTTGTGGGAAAGGCAGGGAGGAAACCACCCAGCCAGGTGTGCCTCACCCCACCTGCCTGGGCCCGACATTGAGGAAACAAAGTTAAATGCGCGCATGCACAGCCAAGCATTAAAAAGACCCCAAAAGGGGGATCACAAGACCCAGGGGGCCCAGCCGCTGGAAGTGGCCAGTCTCCAAGGTCCACCGGGGAGCTCCAAGGCGCCTCCTCGTGTGTCAAAAGGGCTCCTTTTAGCTCCCATGAGGGTTTGGAGGTAGCTAGGTACTGAACTGATTCTTGGCAGTTGTAGTTGCCTTTGTGGGTTGATTTAACAAGGGCGGAATGGATGGGCAGGGGGACGGGACACAGGCAATTTGAGCCTTAACACATCTCAGTAGCACTAAAACTTACAATGCTTCCCCCACCCCCAAGAGCACCTTGCAGTCATCCAAGGTGCTAGTCCTCACTGACGCCAAACCACACCAGCGGCGACCCTCCCGCCGCCCCCCACAGTCACTGGCCACGTGCCTCTTTTTCTCTTTTTCAGGATCGCTCCAAAGGCTGGCCAATACCCTCCTAGAAGTGCCCCAGCCATAACTCTCTCCCAACATCCCGGGACGGCCGAGAGAAGGAGAAAGAGCCATTGTCACTGTTGTACGGCTTGGTCGGACACTGCAGGTAAGTGCCACCAAAACTGTTAAGGGACTGGAACAATCGGGAGGAAAGCTTATAATGTTTGGGGTTGCGTAGTGTGGTGGTGGGGAAACAAGCAGGGAAGGAGGAGGCACAGTGGGTACAGAGAGACAAAACTTGATATTCAAACCCTACGGGGCCATCTATTTTTTTAAAAAAGGAAAAGGAAACCTTCACTCACACTCAGTTAAACGGTGGAACTCCTCGCTATGAGAGGGAGCCGTGGCCACTGCTGAAGGCAACTGGAAAGGGGACTAGGAAAACCTACGGAGATTAGCACTACAGGTCCGGGTGGTTATGAATTATCATCAGCGAGAGAGTGAGCACAGGCTGGAGGGGTTTTCCTTCAGATCCAGCCTTGAGGGGCTCTCATGTTTTTAAACAAGCCCATTCTTTCCTGCAGAAGTGGTGCCAGCATTAGAGGAGAAACCCGCACCGATTTTTTTTTCTTATAAGCCGCCCCTCCTGCTCAGAAGCAGAGGCACCATGTCAAAAAACTGGTGTAGATTCCCCTAGAGAGATACTTAAAACGTTATCACGTAAGGTTCGTAAGAGAAAGGACAAGGGCGGTGAGAGTGGGAGAGCTGGGAGGAGGGCCACTGATGGAGGAGGTCTTGACAGGACTACCAGGACGGTATCGTATTGCTCTATTCTGGAAAATATTGGCTCTTCCTTTTCTCCAGAGATACTCCACCCTTGATGAGGGCCGGCAAACTGGAGCCCTTCCAGATATTCTGGGACTGCCCATCCCACCAGCTCAAACCCCTGGTTCTGCTGGCCAGGGCTGGTGGGATCGGCTGTCCAGTGAGATCTGGAAAACCAGCAGTTCTGCACCTTGTCCCTACCAGGGAGCAAGAAAACAATCTGGTGCACAGCTGGCCGGCTGTATGGACATTGTGTCATGGAGAACTGAGAGGAAAAACTGGGGGTCTCCCAAAGGTTTTCTCTCTCTCTTCCTCCCCCCCCACCCCAAGTTGGAAGGGCAGCATGCAGAATGAAAGTGCCAGTGTTTTGCTTCTTGTACCAAAACGTGGAACAGGAAAGAAAGAGCGAGCGAGCGAGGGATGCACATGAAAAGAACCCCCCCCAAAAAACGGAAAAAGCAGGGGCGGCAGAGGGGGAAACCAGTGACAACATAAAGACCAAATTAAAAACGGGAGGGGAAAAAAACATACGTAAACAAAAAAAGAGCGCCAATTCAAACAGGACGCGAGAATCCAAGGAAGCGTCAGCAGGATGGAGAAGCGTCGGGCAGGCGTGGCGCTCAGCGGCGCAGGCCGAGGGCGCAGGGAGAGGGGAGGGTGTCGGGGGAAGGACGAGACAGACAGCCCCATGCCGTTCCGAAAAACGTCAACCACATCGGAAGCCTCCACTGACCTCGAACTTGTTGCTCCAGATTCAGAATCACCGACACCGCCTGGTGGAGGATTAGGAGCTTGGTCTGCGGTTTTTCGCTGTTAAGGTGCAGCTGGCACATGCGGCCGAGCTCTTTAAAGGCCTCGTTGATGTCGCGGACCCGCAGGCGCTCGCGGGCGTTATTGGCCACCCGCCTTTCTTTCTCTCGCTCGGCTTTTTGCTCTGGGGGGAGAAGGTCGTCTTCCTCATCGTCCTCTTGACTGATAAATTTGAAATAAGAATGAAACAAGGGGGGGAGGGGACATTTTTCCTCGGATACACACCTTGGCACCATGGACGGCATTTCCCGTAAGAAACATAACACGCACAGAGGCTCACGCGTGTGCGATGCAAAGATGACATACCACCCAACACGTGATAATATATACATATATATTCCCCTCCCTTTTCACAATCAAGAATGGGTTGATTTTTTGCCCCAGAAAATCCTTTGGAGCTCCTCTGAAGCAAGACCCAGAACAGCAGAGAAGCTTCTCTGAACGAGAGATGCCGTACGGCCATCCCCTGAGAGATGGGGGGGGGGGGAACATGAGAAGGAAAAGCAATGGCTCACAGGAAATCATCCTAACATATGTGCACTCCCTGTTTGTGTCAGACAACAGAGAGGCTTAAGTGTCCTCGTGCTATTGCCCGTGGCATCCAGCACCATCCTTGCCTCGGTAACAGTGGCTACGCCAAGGGTATTCCAGGGTGGGGGTGGGAACCATCATCCTCGCTTGTGAAAAAGCAGGGGTTCACCCAACCCCTTGGCAAAAAAAAGCACTGTAATCTGAAAACCTACACAACTGGCAGAAATAAAATATACTGGGAAATACACACCTATATTACCATTCGCTGGTGGAGTGAATAGCAGGCGAATTAGACACAATATTTACCACAGAGGGTTTTTTAAAGCAAAGAAGCAGCTGCCTCGCTCTCCAGATTTAGCTGCCGGTGTTTGAAACGGGTTCAGGATCCTATGTTTTTCTCACACACGCACAACGTGGTCCTGCTCACAGATACCACCGGCCACTGAGACTCTGAAGGCGGCTCCCTTGCTTGGCCTTATTCCTCTTCCCCCCCCCCCAAAAAAACCCCTTTCCCTTTGCCAACCTGATTCCATCCCATCCCGTCCCACCCTAAGAGCTGACAGAAGACAGAGACCTGTCCAGTGAGCACCTTGTTCGGTTGCGGGAAGGCTTCAGTTCCTTTTTCTCCTCTTCCGAGTTATCGGCCACTGATGTGTTCTCATCATCCTCCTTATCCTCCCGCTTGATCTCGCTGGTGCCTGACGAGACGCTGGCCCTTCCGAGACCCGCTGTCAAGCCTGCAAGATGCCAGATCCCACCGTGGGCGAGAGACGGCAACAGAGGACAGGAAGGGCTAAAGAAAGGGGCCCTGGGTCATTGGCAACCCTGTTTGATCTGATGGGACCTCCCTATCCCATTGCAAGTATATCCTCAGCCGACACTCTCTTATTTCCTCCGCTCAGCTTCACCCTGGCAAATGCCGACAGGATTGTGGGGGCCTAGGGAGGGGAGGACGCAGCCCGACTCAACCTTACCACTGAAGCCATCTGAAGATTGGCCCCTGTTGAGATCTGGGAGCGAACTCGTCTGTGCAGGAAGAGCGACATGGTTGTGGAGCAGGTTGGGGTTGCTGGAGAGGCCGTCTTCAGGATGACTTCCCCCCACCTGCAATGAGAGAATGCAAGAAAGGGTAAGCCACCAGAGGCATAAATCAGAAACCCGATTTCTCTTTAATCCTTTGAAAAACCAAGTCCCTGCTCAAAAGTCTCAAGGGCCAGTCCAGATCCTATATATTTAGAGACCGTTTCTGAGCCACTTGTACCATTCCTGCTCCCCCCCCACCCCTCCCTTCTGGTGAATATGCAGCGTGAGTAAATAATAGCCAATATTTAAGGTGACAGCACGGCAGAATTCAAAATCCACAGACGCAGAGAAGCCAGAAATATGGAGTTACGGCCCAAACATTGTTTTGAGTTGCTTTCTATACTATATAAACAGAATGAAGAAACATTACAGGTGGCCATCGCAGATTTTCAGACAAGCCGTTCCATCACGACTGTGCTCCTTTGTCAGAGATAAAAAACAAAAGAGGGCGAATTTGCCCCAGTGGCTCAGCACCCCCCTTTCCGATCTTACCAGGTTCGAGTGCCGATTGGTGATGGGCAAGACAGAGGCCGGGGGGAAGGATTGGCTGAGGCTGCCCACAGAGGTGCTGTGCGCGGAGGCGGACGCCAGGAGGTCGTGGATTTCCCTGTGGTTGCCCTGACCGACGGCGTGGCTCCGAAGGACGTGGATCGCCTCGTCGAGATGGTCTTCCATTTTGTTTTGCTGGAGGAGAGACAGATGCCCAGGACACATGGAACTGTGTCCCCCCACCCCAAAGATTGCCCCAAACCCTTCGTCCCTTTTCTATAAACTTCAAAATCTCGAGTAGCCCTGAAACCTGCCAAGTGAAAGACCTGTTTTGGGTTGAAATCGACAGAGGAAAGGAAAGGAGATAAACAAAGGAAAAATAATAGAGGTGGCGCAGGATGTCATAGGAGGATTCCAGAAACAGTTTCTGGACTACGAAATCATCATCATAAAAATTTTAAAACTATATGTGCTTTCTTGTTGACATAACAAGGTGACACCCCAAGGAGGAGAAAAAATTGCACTCCCTGAGAATCAAGGGTTTCTGCTCTTGCAAATATTTCTAGCTAGACACGAGACACAAATCTGGTTTCTAGCAAGACACAAGAAACAAATCTGGTTTTCCACAGAATATGATCATGCAAAAGTACAGAGAAGGGAAGCCAAGGATGATCAAGAAGGCCGCTGGCGCCCGACCTGGCATTTTATGACTTTACACGCTTTATTGTAAAGACATGATGAAAGCAAGGAGGGGGGGTTGCCTACCAAAGTGTGAAGGGTCCCTTCGTAGCTTGGGGATAGCGCACCCTGCCCGCCGGCACGGGGCCACTGTGAAGAACCTGAGGTGAAAAAGAAAAAGAAAAAAAAGAAGAAATAGAGAATAGGAGTCAGTGCAGTAGTTAGCACAGTTGGAAGAAACTTTGGGAATCCGAGTTTGAATCCCCTACTAAGCCCTAAAATGCACTAGGTGGCTTTTGGCTATTCTGTCTTGCTCTCAGGCTGATCTACTTCAAGGGCTTTTTTTTTGGAGGGGGGTAACAAAGTAGGAGAGTTCTGGGTTCAAGTCCTGCTCCACAAAAACCTGGGCACAGAAAATTTCACACTACCACCTGTGCTCTGTCCTGTTTCCCCTTCATGGCATCAATTTAAGCTTTCCCCCAAACATCTGGAGAGATGTTTCTTAGTCATTTGGGGTAGGAAGAAAACAGAACCTTTTCCTGGTCTCCCCCCCCCCCCAAATTAAATGAAGGAATTGTTTGTTTGGGCTGCTAGCTTCTCCTGCCCAGACAGACTGCTCTTGGCTGTGGATGCTACACCTTTACCACAAGGTTCCCCCCCCCGCACGAATTCAAAAGGCTTGCCTGTTATGCCCTGAGGGGATCCCACCGGCGTGGATGGGTTAGAAGAGAAATTATTGCTTGAGTGATCCGGGGAGTAGATCTGAAAAGGGAAAAAATGAAAAACAGACTAAAATGTTAGGTTTGGAGTGCATGGGTGGGCGGGAAGCAGAGTGTGAGCTTTGATGATGACGATGATGATGATGATAAAATTAACAAAAAGCTTTTCGTGGGGCTCACCGAAGCTAAAGCTTTCCCAAGGGCGTCCCCTGAACTTCCAGCACTGGTTCCTCGGTTACCTGGAGTGGAAGAAAAGATAAAATGACAGAAACACTCATTGTCAACCTCAGGCGGCAGAAAATTAGCCCTCTCTACCAAAACCGAGAGCTGAGCTTGTTAAGAATATCCACCTTGCAATTGAATGGTTAAAAAGTGACTAGACTTCATGGCCACAAGACCGGGAAGAGAGCATCTGCTCGAAAACATCAGAAATCTCAAAGGTTTTTCAGAGGTTTGGGGTTTACTCCCAGGACCCAAGATATTTAATTTCTCTCTCCCTCCTCCCCATCCCGCGCCCCATAAAGCAAAACCGGTAAACTGTGGATGCGAAATAACAGGATGTTAGAGAGAAAAATAAATGCAAAGTATATCAGCAAGACACCGCTTTATTGAGACCAACTGGACATTCACAAACTGTGCAAGGTTTTGAGCTCTGCAGAAGGCTTCACCAGATTGCTTTATTTTGGGGGAGGGGGCGGGGAGGGGAAAACGCTGTAGAAGTCCAAAGATTTGGCTAAAGGTTTGAAGCCAGAGGGGTGGTGGTGCAGGAGGGGGATTCAACCTTTAAAGTAAGTGCCAGGATGGAGAGCAGATGTAAACAAAGCCGTATACCATCGCCTTCCATGTCTTTCCAGGTCTTCCTCCCCAAGTAAATTCCAGAGAGGGAAAAGACAGGAGAGAAAAAAATTGTTACCAACCATTTCCCACTTACACCCATATATTGGGGTTTAAAACCTCTTCCCTGTATGCCTCCTTTTCACTACGTATCCCATCGCCCTGGAGGCTCGGTCACAGTTGGCCAAACGTCCCAGTAAAAGAGTGGGGTTTAAATAAGAATATACGATTTGGGGAGGGGGCTTTGCCGTGCAGAAAAAAGGGGGTTTATAGCGGGGCAAGGGATGGGGGGGATTAGAGCGTGCTTTGGGTTTTTAGCCCTGTAATGCAAAACTCAAGCCCTGGCCTTGATCTGAGTCCCTTCCTTTCCTTTTGATCCGCATTATCTCGTCCAGCCGAGGCTTCCCCCTGTGGACGCTTCCACTTCCGGCCTCTAGCATCGCTGTTTCGGGAGGGGCCAGTCTACACAAACAACACACACACACACACACGGACAGAACGGGGATTTTAAAAATGTATCCCCGACCTTCCCCCTCCCCCAAAAAAAGCACAGCACACAGGTGCGGAAAAAAATCAGGAGAACAGAAAAGGTGGCGTGGATGAAAATTTTTCGCTCCCCGACCATCATGAGGATGGCAGGCGTCACAGCGCATACAAAGTCCCCAGACAGAGGCTTAAAACTAAACAGATCTATTTCTGCCGGCTTGGCGCTGATGGGTTTCCGCTTACTCCTTCCCCACCCCGGGGGGATTAACCTACATGTGCGAGAGGGGGAAGGGATGCGGAGGAGGCGGTGGCTGGAGGAAAACACCAAGGAGGCACCTGAAATAGTGTGTGTGCATGCAGGCAAAAGAGGCAGATAGAACGGGGAGAAAACGAAAATAGCATCACCCCAGCGTCCTCCTGCTCGGGGTGATATAATCCAGACAACCACTGGTAACCCCGACAGCATAACAAGACTGGGGCATGTGTTACGAGAATGATTATTTTGCTTCTTAACGACTTCTGACCACAAGGGGGTGCATGTGATCCTCTTTGCTCCATTTTCACAACCTCCTTACAAGGTAGATCAAGCCCAGAGAATCCCAGCCGGGATTGGAACCTGGGTCTCCGGATCCCTCGCCTGTCCGAATCTCACACCCTTGAACTACCGCACCCTGGGGCGGAAATCCTACCGGGGACTGAGAGAGCGGCTGGGAAGGAAAGAAAGAAAATAGCCTCCAAGCTAGGAAAGGAAAGAGGAAGACTGACCCATCACGGTCTCTGTCCCACCGATGGGGGGCGTGTGGCTGGAAACGCCGTACTGGGTAGAGGCGGATGAAAACCCGGAGACAGAGGGAAGGCCGCCGTTGACTTCTCCGGGGTGCATCTGGTAATTCTAGAGGAGGAAAGCGGAGACACAAAAATGCTCAAACACGCACAGATGACGCAGCATACAGGTGACACGCTTCTGAAATTCCAATCCTCGGTCCAGCCCACACCACCCTCAGGAATCGGCCCCCCATTACCATCCGTTCATGCTGGTGAAGACCGCTGAAATTGCCTGGCTGCGGGAGCGGAGAGGAAGAGGTGCCTAAAATGGCCCCATAATTTGACTGCCCCATGGTGCCGGAGGAGCTCCACAGATCAGCCGAGTTGGGGAGACCGTCTGCAAGAAAGAATGAAAAACGACCAGCGCTTTTGTGGGCTTCTTTTCTTTTCCCCTCCTGATTTTTTTTAAAGCCCCTACGCCGGATACATGGTTAGACCAGAGAGGAACCATCGTCCTCTCTTGTGAGACCCGTTTGTGGTCCTTGACACGGGTGCCGCAATCGGCTTCACCGTGGGGCAGAGCAGGGCCTTACAAGGGGTGGCAACGGACGGGTGAAAACAAGTCAATGTTTTATAGACTTCAAAGGGCGGGCAGCCACCAGGCGCCAGTAGCAAATAAATAAAGAAACAAACCAAATCCAGCAAAAAGGAGAAAATGTGTGTGTGTGAGAGAGGAGAAGAATGGCTCATTGCCACCGCTATTATTACCCAACAGGTAATCTACCTCGGCCCAGGAGGCTCACCTGGCATATAAAAAGCTCCTGGATACACAGTGCTGGGAGGCTTGGAAGGGGCGTAGCCACCTGGTTCCCGGTTGTATTCGTCGCTGGAGTTGGGTGGATACACCTGTTGAGGAAAACAGGGAAGGTTACCGCTTGGCAATGAACCCACACTTTTTGAGAAAGCCCTCTTAATCGGGTTTGCGGTGAGCTGTGAAGGTGGCCTTTGGTCCACAGCCAGCTTGAAAACCCACCTTCCGCCCTTCGGGTGCCTTGCCAGATATTTGGGACTACAAGTCCCATCCTCCCCTACTGGGCATGTGGGCTCAGCATGATAGGAGTGAGGAGTCCAAACAATCTGGGAGTCATCCCTTTGGAGGGGGAAACAATTGTCAAAGCATAGCAATGAAGAAGCAACAGTCCCATGGCTATGTAGGGAGCCCAGACAGACCTCTAAACTTGAGCATGGCTGTTCTCCAAAGTCCCAGTACAACACATTAACCATTACACTACACTGCTTTCCTCGTGGCATGAAACAAAATTAAGTCACTTCCACCACTAGAACCAGTAAATGGTGGACAAAAAGCTTGTGGGGGAAAATGAGTTGGAAGCTTAGTCAGGGCAGCAGGCTAGCGCTAGACGTTCTAACCCAGGAGAGCACATTCATGATGCTGAAAAAAATGATTGCCAGTAGGGATCAGAATGGCAGAAGAGAGATCAACCGAAGGCGATTTGGATTGGATGCAACCCACTGGCCTCCCAAAGCTTCCCAAAGCTGCCTCCGAGTTGGGTGAAATTGGGAGTTTGAATCATATTTTTTGAAAAGAGCTTCTGTTTTGCCTCAAAGGAGGCCCCGTGTTCAGATCTCCTATCAGCCGGTGACGGGAAAGAAACGTCTCAGCCAAGAGCGTGGAATCAGGTGAATAAACATCTTGTCCCAGGTTTACGGCAGCCTGCTCGGCCATTCTTAAGATGTAACCAGGCTGTGCGTCTCTGTGAGACCTGTGGGAAGCTTCGCCCTGGATTGCAAAATATGACTAAACTGAAAGGATTCGGATCTGAAGAGGAGGAAACAGAACCTCATCTCCTCCTGGCTCGAGAGTTTCAGAATGAACACCACAGTTCAAATATAGAGCTTTTGGGAGCCTTCTCCCGTATGTTTAAAAAGGGGGGGAAAAAAAAACACACACAAAGGGGTTTCTGGTCACAGGCGGGGTTGGGGGTGGTGTGTCGGCATTTCAGCCACGTGCTTTCGAGGTCTTTTTTACTAGATGGCTTTGTATCCTGCAGCACACGTTTTTACGGCTGTGCAGCACTTTTTTTTGTCATGGGTGTGTGTCAAAGAAGCAATAAATAAAGTATTTAAATGAACAAAACGTAGAGGGCTGAATGAGGGAGGGGAGGATTTTGCAAGTTGGATGCTGAAACCTCTTCTGCATTTGTGTGTGTGTGTGTGTTTGTGTGTGTGTGTGTAGATAGGAGAGAGATGTGTACTGGAGCGAAAAGTGGGGGGTATAGGAAAGAGAGGGCGCTCGTGGGGGGAGGGAATGAAGCAGTCGGGGAGAGCGCCGGAGAAGCAGAGCGGGGGAATGAAGCCGGCTACAAAGAATAAGAAATCCCAGTAAATTGCCTTTTCCTATAATTTGATTAAATAGCAGGAGCCGGGACTGGGACTCCAGCAAAGCACGAATAATAGCCCCATGCCATCTGCCAGCGCTTGGCGCCTGGCCAGGTTCTCCAGGCAGCTGTGTGATGATGCCGAGGGTGGGAGGAGTGGGGGTGGGAGGATGGGAGACCGAAAGAGGTTGGGGGGCAGGGAAGGTGTTGCCATGAGAGAGAGACAGAGAGAGAGAGAGAAATGAGCAGCTTTTCGGGGTGGGGAAAGGAAAAGGAAATGAACGCATGCATGCAGGAGAAACCTTAAAGTCAGAGAAAGCTACGTCTGGGAGTCCCCGATTATTCCCCTCGAAGGGTTAAGTTGGACAGTGCTTCCCCTACAATGCATGTTAATTTACACACCACCACCCCATTTTCCAGAAGATATGGGTGCCACCTTATCATCCAAGCTGCCTGCCTCTAGCTCTCGCCTTTAGAAGGCCACGGGGTGGGTGACGCGATTTAGTTATAATGTACCCCAGGCGGAGGGAAAAACCCCGGCTGGACTTGCAAATGTCATCCGGCTCCTCCTTTTACTCTCAGATACATCAAATAAGGAGGAAAGTCTGCACCAAAGCGCTCCCCCAAACCGGCACAAGGAGCGGATTTTCATTCACTGACCGCTTCACCCGTGCCATCAACCTCTGCCCCAGGGCAAGCTTCTGAAGGGCACAGAACTCCCATTTGCTATGGGGTAGGGTAAGACATTTGAAGGGAGAGCGTCTTGAAATAAAGACGGAGGGAAGGAGAAAGAGAGAGAGAGCGAGAGCACCCATAAACTGGGTGTGATGACCCGCACATGGCTTGGGTAAATGAGAATTTTCCTGGGTTCAATGAGATTTCATCAAAGTTCAGTTTGACCAATGTGAAGAACACCCCCCCCCGGCAACACACACACTTCATTCCTTTGGAAGCCGTACAAATTGAGGTGAAACAGAAAAGGAAAATAAGCAAGAGCTGCTGGATCTCAAGCTCTCCCTGAGAGGATCGCCTCGCCTCACTTCCTGTTCTTTCGAACATGACGGTGTGTCCCGAAATTGTATTACTCCCGCCATCCCAAAGAACGAGATCAACGCTGGCATTCAAAAAAGCAAGCTGTTTTGCTCCCATGGGTTCAAACTCCCCCCCCCCAAATCGCCCAAAAAGATATCGTTGCAACTAGAGAGAGAGAGAGAGATTTGGCAGTCCCTCCACCTTAGAATCATAGATGTTAGAAGACAACAAGCTTATTGGGAAAACTTGAGCCATGCGGCCGGAAATTTTTTTTTAAAGGCAACGATTGAGAGAAAGAGAGGGCGGCTATGGGGAAGAAAAAAGAAAACTGACTTTGTGCAGAGCTAAAAACGTTTTAAAAGCAGGGGAGGAGAACCCCAGGCTAGGTGGACGCTCAACTGGGTGGCAGCCAGCCAGCCAGCTAGTGAAGGTCAGGGCCCCCTCGGGAGGTTTTCTGGCCTTTCTTTGGCCGGCCCGAAACAGGAAACCCTAAATCAAGACCCAGCTCCCAGGACTGCACACCGCCTTGCTGTCCTCCGCCACCACCCCTTTCCCCACCACGGCTGACTGGGATTTTATGCCTCCGCTGGCCAAAAATTTATTTTTTTAAAAAAATCAAGAGGCTGAGCCCCCTTGCCGCTCCGTCGCGCCTGCCCTGCCAGGCTGCAAGGTTGAGATCATTTCCTGCTGTTCACCTGGAGAAAAGATGTAGTGGTGGAGTCGGGTGGGTTGGGGAGAGTTGCATCTCATTTTTTCCCCCAAAANAAGGGGGGGGGGGAGAGAAAAAAATCCATTTATACAACCCTTTACATTTCATCTCAGGCTCACTGTTTCAACTTTGGATAAATAAACCGGAATACACAAAACACCGCCTGCACTGCGGGCCATTTGCAGCCTCCCCAGCAGCTGTTTCTAAACACCCCAGAAGCCCCCATGGTGTCTCAACCCCCTACACACACCTTTCCCCCTTACTCCAGGAATAGCTGCTTTTCCACATCTCCCCTCCAGCCCTGATCCAGCCTGGCAGACAAACAAGTAAAAGCAAAACTGGACACAAATGTCCAGTCATTTCCTGTTCTCTCTCTCTCTCTCTCTCTCTCACACACACACACACACACACACACCACTCTTTAATTTTTGACCATTTCTGAGCCTTGAGCAGCTCTGTCAAGCAGCTTTCCAAGAGAGGAGGAGGTCTCCATGTGAACAATTCTATGCTGCGTTTCTACTTCACCCCCCAAAAAAGAAAAAGAAAAAGAAATCAAAAATAGATTAAGTAATAACTCATGTGGTTTACCATAAAAGAATAGACAATGGGAGGAAACAGGAGGATACAAATGAATCAGCACACAGAATAACACATCCACTCAGAAGTCCAGCCGGTCTAAACTACAATATGTCTTTTTTTTTTAAAGAAGAAAATATTCCTGATTCCGGCTGAGACGCAAGTAAAAAACAGGAGCTTAAAACGCTACCTTAAGCAAAACTCCAAAAGAACTCCCAGTCGGGTTTGGTTCCCCTTTTATTAAAACAGCAACACCTCTTTGAACTGTAGAAACCACGGAATTTGAGGTTGGACTAGATGACCTCTTAAGTTCACGCCATCTTTGTGATTTTCTCCTCGAACAACCTTCAGTGTGCGCGTTCAAGATCTTTCTTGCCCTGTTTTTGACATGCCAACACAGGCCCTTTCCCTTCGCTCCGGCCATCAGCCAACAGGGAAACAGACATACAGTGACATCACAGAAGCTCAGCCAATGAGAATGAGGGGAGCCAGAAAAATGAGTAAATCAAACAACTACAGAATTTCCTACCTGCTAGATTCATCAAGAAGGAAGTGGCTTACCGAAGAGGGGAGTCCCGGAGGCACCTTTCGAACTTTTTTCGGCTGTCCATCTGAACGGGAGAAGCAAATCAAGAAATATTTTTAATAATATCAGTGAAAGAGGTCACTAATAAGCGGCAGCTAAAATCCAGTAACAGGCAGGCATCGGGGATACAAAATCAACTCAGCTGTGTCTTCAACCTCCACCCAACATTAAGAATTATCAGCACAAATACAAAAGGGAGATTGTTTTCCATAGCAGGGGCCACTGTGCTTAAGGCCCTGCTCCGAACAACTGGAGAGGCAAAGATAGACACCTGTGGCATCTGCCAAATGATGGTGGCCTCCATAGGGCAATGGGTCTACCAAGGAGAAAGGGGCTTCTCAGGGAACACGGTCGCAAACATTGGAACCAAAACCGTATGGTAAGAGTGAGAAGGATCAGAACTCCTTTCTGTTTTTTGTGTTTGACAACCAATGAATGAACCAATCGAAAAGAAAGGAAGGGAGGGAGGAAATGAATAAAAAGGGAGGGAAAGAGAGAGAAAGAAAGAAAAAGAAAAAAGAAAGAAAGAAAGAAAGAAAGAAAGAAAGAAAGAAAGAAAGAAAGAAAGAAAGAAAGAAAGAAAGAAAGAAAGAAAGAAAGAAAGAAAGAGAAAAGAAAAGAAAAAGAAAAGAAAACCACATGGCAGGCTTTTGCAACAGGTCTCCATTCTTGGCATTCCTGGCCCTCAATGGAAGCCAGATGTCTGCATTTGGAGCAGGTTTTGCTCCTCAAGGCAAAAGCAAACGGGGCCACCTCCGCTCCATCCCATAATAAGCCAGGAGTGTGCGAGTGGACGCGGGGAGAGTTGGGGGAGGGCTTCCCAAGAGTTAGGAAGGGGCTAGTTGCAAGGAGAGGATATTGTACGTCGGAAGGGGCAATGGAAAGGTGTGGTGTCAGGTTGTTGTTTTTTCTTTTTCTTTTGGACAGAGCAGAAATGAAAGTAGCACCCAAAGAAGTCAAGGATTTACTCCCTACTCGGATCAGGCCAGGCATTGGGGAGACAAGCAGCAGATCCCTCAAAAACTTCACTTGAAGGAGAGCAGACCAGTTTTTTTTTTTTCAAATTAAAACAACCCGTTTAAATAAAACCCATCCTTCTCTCCTGTGGTCACTCTCGTGTTCAACGGTTCAGCTCTTAATCTCAAGTGTTCCTCCTCTGTAAAATGCCGGCCCCCTTAGCATCACGGGGAAAGGAGAGGCTCCCAAAGAAGAACACTAAGGGCCAAGAGGTGAACAGTTTACACCCAAGTAGCAATCACAGAGTCATGTCTTTTTTAAAAACATGCCTTCCTCTCATTTGAATCACACCCCCCCCTTGGTAAAGACTGCAAGACATCTAGCAATTGATCCAGTAGGTTTTGATTTAGTCCCCCCTCCCCAACCCGGTGACCAGTTTGTCCGCTACACACCTGGGGGGGGACACATATGCTCTCTCCCATGCCCTTCATTGGGGGGGGGGTGTCACCTACCTATGCTGCTTTCGGCCCCTCTCCGGCGAGGGTTGTTGGCGTAAGGATAGTACTGTGACCCTCCCTTCACTCCCGTCGGGGAGAGTGTGGTGGGACTTGAAATCCCCATTTCACCCGGCAGGAAGCCAGACTGCAGAAAAAGGTGGACGGGGAAGAAAGAAAACAAACGTGAAAAGGGGGAAGCATGTCATCCCTAATAAATAAATACATTAAGCACAACCAGCCCTTCTGGGCCGAAGAAACTCCCTAAGGGTGCCCGGTTTCTGCAGGAGTCATCATCGTCAAAAAGGCAAGGACAGACATACGCCCGGGTGTCCAAGCCCTGCCCAACCAAGTTGGGGGCTTGAGCCCCCTTTTTTTCCTTCTTTATTTGCTCCAGCAAAACTTAGAAACCGGGGGTCTCCAGAAGGGCTACCTCCAACCCACCAAGGACCCTAAACTCCATCCCTTGTGTGTTCCTTTTTGCTAGCTCACGCCCTTCTCAGATGTGTCTGGAATGCAAATTCTGAGACTACATACTGTAGTCCTCTCCCAGATTTAATCCTGATTACATCCGCCTTGTACGGATTGTAGCCCGAAAGAACTCCGGCTGTCATAATGTTCTTTTCCTGAAAGGGTGCCACGAGGCTTAGGGTTTTTTCTGTCTATGTTTTCAGGGGCAACCTATGACAATGAGCCCTTGCCAAAGCCAGGGCTGTGACCACCCGTCCCTCCATCGGCCGCCCGCTCTCTGCCTGACAGCCCAACCAGCTCTGCTATGAGATCGTGCCCGTGGGGATTTCCGCCTGTCCACCCGCAGCCCATCTGACATCACATGGGTGAGAAAATGCAACCGCTTACCTGAGTGAGAGGTGGCATGCCTGCCTCTCTGCTGAATGAGTAGCCCCCCCTTTCTGTGCCTTTTCCTAGAAGTGGAAGGAAAATACAAAACCGTTTGTGAGGGTCCCAGGAGTGGGTGGGTGGCAAGAGATTATATTTATGCAGGCATGACACATGCCAAGATGCAAAAATCAAAAGTTTGCAGAAAAAGAGGGATGCGCCAAACCCTAGGAATGTGTAGGTGCCAGGCTGGAAGGAGACGCCGTGGTGTTGTGCAAAAAAAGTCCAAAACCAAGCATGGATGAGACGCTCAGGAGACCACCAGAAAAAGAATCCAAACTGGGCAAGGTTTTTCCTGCAGGGCAGGCATGGCAGAGTTTGCAGAGGGGAACAGAAACACTATGAAGACACCCTGACCTAGATGATGTCGTTTCAGGATCTGACATTCAAGGCCAGACTCAAAAAGCCCAGGCTGCAGGCTTGCAAAACAAGTGTGTGGTGTGGGGTGGACCTTAAGATTTCGCCCTTGTCCCACCTTTGCAATGCAAGGCCTGATAGAAAGTCCAGGAGAACTTCAACCATTCTGCCCCCCCTTTTTTTTATTTTTTTGATATTTCAGTGGTCTGATTAAAAGCATGAAAACTAAGAGCTGTGGGTAAGCTCAAAGGGGCATATCGCACTCTCCTGGCCTCACAACGACCCCATGAGGTAGGCCGGTGGAAAAGGCAGTCCGACCATATCTCAGTAGCCTTCTACCGCCCTTCCTCCTTTGTGGATCAAAACGTCTGTTTAATAACGTTTTGAGAGAGGGGCTCAAATCCTAACCCCCTTGGTCTAACCATTACACAGTACTGCCTCTCAGTGGCCAAAGCATGGGGGGGGAGAAGGGCCTTCGTTTCAAAACTCCCATTTTAGGGCCCCCAAAAGGTCACCAGCAGTTAACAATAGCAATTTGTGATTTGGGGAGAAAGTTGCATGCGTCTTGGGAGCTGGAACGAATTACTTTTAAAAAGTAACTTCCCATGGGGTTAGTGGAAAGCCAGCAAAGGGTGCTTCGCTGCCCACTACCTTCTCCAGCCCTCTCGAGCGGCTGAGCGGCTGTTAAGTAAAGGGGAGGTCAAAGGGGTTGCCCAGCAAAATATTTTTAACTGATCTAATTTTTCTCCCTCTCTCAAAAGAGATTTAGGGGCTAAATTTGTTACCCCGACAGTCCCTTTCCTCCCTCCCTCTTTCTGGCCAGCAGAAATAAACCCCGAGCAGGTCTAAAGTGCAGGATTGGCAAGAAACCAGCCTCATTTGCCGGGGGGGGGGTGGGCAGCTTCAGGCAATCATCTCTCTTCTTTGGGAGGGAAATCACTCTAAGTGGGGGTTTCCTGGGAGTACAAAAAAGGAAGGTGACTCGATCCAACCCCTCCCCCCATCTTCGAGGCTTGATTAAAATAAATCTAGGGATTTTAGAGAGAACCAACAAAGTCACACGTTTTGGGCTTTTTTTCTTTAATAGGGAAGGTGTGAACATTGCAATTGAAGATAGGAAAAATAAAGGGGTACAGGTTGTGGGGGAGACTGAAATAATCTTCATTGTTATGACATCCGTTCTTGGCCTCCCGGCAGCATGATCCCCCTGCAGTTGGCCGTGTCTTTTCGGTTTTGTTTCCAATTCATATTTTTGAATGAAAAATACAAAGGCCATTGAGATGATATGAAACCCTTCCTTTTCTATAGCAAGGGTGGAGAGGGCTGAGTATTATCCTAGGGATGGTCTCCAGGGCAGCATTGCAGTTATGGGCGAGGCCAAAGGCAAAGGGGGTGAGGCCCCAAACCTCAGTAACTGGGGTTGATAAACCCGCTTTAAACCAGTTTCACAGGTGGGCGAGGGTCTCTTGACAGATCTGTGGCTCAAACCCCGTTTACCAAGATGCACAAACGAACACAAGAACCACAGCAGGAACCCAACTAACTGTGGCTCCAAAGGAATGCAAAAACATGGACCGTTCAAAGCATCAGAAATCATCGAGGTTCCAATAAAGGAACACAGAAGTTGGAAGGAAGATAAAAAATATCAGCCAGACTTCTTTTGCTTCAGTTCAAACCCAGCAACGTAAATCTCAGCTGCGCAAGCGAAGAACTCGGTGGTTGGACTTCAGGTCTCGTGCTGGTCGTGCGGCTGGACTTGTGACCATAAATATAATCACTGACTTCTTAACTAGTGCCCAATGGTCTCTGGGACTTATGCTGATGGACTTACCCCGGTGTAAATATTTAACCTGGATTCCAGCCCTCCTGGCTTAGTGGAGTATATCATGGCACAATCGAAAAGGACAGAAAATATCATGGTTAAGGGGAAGACCAAAACCAAAAGGGAGAGATTATGGTTGAAAAGAATGTGAAAACCGCAGAGACACCATGGATAAAAGAAGGGGAAATACTGGGAATGGAAAGACTACAAAACCCATGGTCAGCCTGTGCCACCTGCCTGAGGCCTCAGAGATAAGACCAGCATTCATAGATCCAATCATTCTATTAGGTACGCAGGTTCTGATCTGGGGGTGGGACGGAAAGGGGGGGGGAGAGATAAGCCCAGAGATTAAAAGCAATGTCTGCAGGGGGGGGAAGCAGGGTGGGGGAAAGAAAGGAGAGCACCCTGAACCGATTAAAACAATTGTCCAAAGAGCTTGCCAGTTACAATGCGGCCTAGATTAGCAAGCTCGCTCCTGAAAAGAAGTTAATTGCTAGAAATAATTACTTGAAAGAGATCGGCTCTGGTGTCTCAGTTTCCTTACGGGGATAAGACAATGCCCCTAAACCATACTGAGATCTCCCTGTGCCACCACCCCACAATTAATTCACAAATATGACTCACAAAGGGAAGGATTGGGGAAGGGAAGTGATACAGGAAGCGAATGGAGCGACTTAATTTATGTGGGCCCCGAGTTTGTTCATGTACACCACGGAACCGGGGCCCGCATGCAAACACCCTGCGCGTGCACCGTAAATGCTCATCTCTTGAGTTCGCCCACCCGCCACCGCCACACCAAGCTTTGTAATGATTAGCGCAGTTCAGGAGCTGGAGCAAAGCAGTAAAGAAGACAGCGGGAGAAGGGCATTCGGAAGCGTCAACGCCGTATCGCTTCTGCGTCACCAAGGGCATTTGGTTTTGGAAGGGGTGAGAATTCATAATTAACATCCCTCTCTCGCAAATCCAGGGAATGTTCCTGGAGCTCAAAAGGACGGAAAAGCATCAAAAAGATTCATCTATGTCAGGCCGAGGACCCAACCTTTCTGTCCTGCCGATCTGGACGCCGACTCCATGCTCCCCCTTGGTAAACAGCCGGAAGGGGGAAAAGCAAAGAGCAGCGACACTTACCTACTATCCCAGAACCGAGGAATGAGGACGAAGATATGCTATTATGGGATGGCAGGTCCCTGTGCTCGCTGTAGTGTGAGCCTTCGCCATAGCCCTGCTAAATGAAACAAACAAACAAAAAAAGTGCAGGTGTTTAAACACAAGGAGCAGGAGGTTATATTTGTGGGGGTTTCTGATTGATCTACCATTCAGAGAAACCATTTCCCAATCACAGTGCATCAAATCTATGTCACCTAAGGCAGATTCATTTGCCCTTGAAAGGGACGGATCACCTAGGGTGAGCAATCTGCTTCCAGGCGAGCACTAAAGGGTTATTTGCTAATGATCACTTATAAAGCCCTAAACGGTTTGGGACCTCAATATTTGGCAGATCGTCTTCTCCCACCCAGATCTACCCGGATCACCCGATATAGCCAGCAGGGGCGGCTGAGGGGTCTGACGCCGAGAGAGGCCCGGAAGGAAAAAACAAGAAACCGGGCCTTCTCGGCGGTGGCCCCTCGGCTGTGGAATGCCCTCCCAACAGAAATTCGGCTGGCACCCTCGCTGGGTGTTTTTAAAAGCCAGTTAAAAACTTGGTTATTTAAGAAGGCCTTCCCTCCAGTCAATTAAGTCTTTTTCTCTGTTTCTCTCTCTTTTTTTGGCTATTCCATCTTGGTAATCCTCTCTTTAAATTAATTGTTTTAAATTGAAATATGTAATTTTATGATTTTATATATTTTTATACTGTTTTGTTTTATTTTGTAAGCCGCCCCGAGTAGACATGGTCTAGAGGGGCGGGGTAAAAATCAAATAAATCAAATAAATAAATAAATAAATAACTAAATAAATTATTTCCCTCCGTACATTCCACTTTGGTCTGCCCTGTCAAGAGTGCTGCTCCACAACATCAAATGAGCTACCCTTTGGACACATTCTAGAGCCCTAGATGTTCTGGATGACAAGGGCCCTTCCTGCTGTGCACCATGGGAGTTGTAGTGCAACAGCCACAGAAAGCCCCACAGGCTGTGGAAAGTTGTTCCCGGGACAAAGAGATGCCTAGAAATCCTGAAGCCGTTTTTCAACTCTCCCATGATCTTACCCTGACTTGGTCAAACGTAGAGTTGTTTTGATCTCCAGTCGTCCAGGAACCTGAGGCTGGCCGTTCATCTAAACCTGCTGGAGAGGGAGAGGAAAAGAGCGGGGAAAAGATGAAATATTTTTTTAAAAAACGATTACTTTGATCTGCCATACTTTCAAAAAAATGAAGTTAACTCTTCCACCGACAAACAGAAAAATATTTGGACGCGACGCCCACAGCGGGCCAGCCTTTCCTGTTTGAGCAAATTTTCCAGATGGGTTCGGTTTCAAAGGCACCCTACGTTTGACAGAACTGAGAGAGGGTTAAGCACCCCCCCCAATTCAGGATTTCAAAGATCGTATCACCACAAGACAAGAAGTAGATGCGTATGTGAGTGCCCTTATGAGCGTTTTTGCATCAAAAAATCAGCTCTCCAAGGAAAACTATAAATGAAAAGAAAGTTGAGAATGGCCTTAATAAAATTTCCAGCAATACGGCCACTGGGCATTTGCTAATGCAGAATCGAATCCCATAACATCCAAAAAGCTTAACCACTATTTATCACGGCCTGAATTTTTAGCAAATGATGTAACCTGCTTCCCTGGAGATGCTCGGATCTGTAAAAGTCTGTGCTGCAATAAACCAGTCCGGCCTCCATCCAGCCACTAGTGGCGTCTGGGAAAAGGGGGAGGCCGTAGGAAATGAGGAAGGGCCCATTAAGAGATGGACCCCAAAATGAAGGAAACTACGGCCTTGAGTTTGCAAGACCTGAGCCTGGTTGTCAAACGCAGGTCCTTATGGGGTCACCTTAAGTAGCTTGATGACACATACCAAGTGTCAGCTGGAGTAGACCCACTGAATTAATAGGATTGACAGAGACGTCAACATATAGTCAACAGACTCAACAGATCTACTTTGGTTGGGAAAAGACACTCCCCCCCCCATCTTGAGTTCCCCCATCATTTCAGGAATTTACTTCTCTCCTCCTTTTTGCCACAAGGGAAGCTAAAGTCCCAAGTGGCGAGCGAGTTCAGCCCCCAAATACGAACATTTGGGTGATGATGGTGAGGCCCCGTTGCTCAGCCTCCCCAAATCCAGTCAGAGTCTTGGTGTCTATTTGTTTCCCTACATTTCTGCCGAACAGGCACTTCAAGTGGCAAAGAAGAATAAGATACGGACCACCAGGGCATTAAGGCGACCAAGAATTTAAACCCCAAGGATAGTTCGAGGGCACAGCGATGGTGTTCAGGCACACCAGAAAAGGGCCAGAAATGGCACATGTGCCAAAAGGCGCCAAAATGATATTCTCAGAGGCATAGAAGTCTAAACAAGACACAAGTCCTGATGTCACCGGATTCCTTCTTTCCGGCCCCCACCGCTCCCCCAAATTCTCAAGGGCTCCCTAAATTTCAATTCAACAAAGCCACGGGTTAAACAATGGCACATTTTCAGCTTCGAGGAGGTGACGTGGATGCTTTTATTTTCTTATGAAACGGTTTGCATTCCAAATACTCCCCAAATGACTGCTTCTTTCCCCACGTCACTTTGTTATCGATCGCTCGACGCCTGCTTTTTTTTTAAGGTGGAAACAGCATCAAAGAGTGGATTGACAGCTACCACATCCATCACAGGGGGCATCCAAGAAGGTTTGGAGACGGTTCCTCTGGCCGTAGCAAGCTTACAGGAGCCAACCCGGGGCCCCCTTAAATGCGCTGCTTTTGAATTCTGAAAATACGTGAGCTTTGTCACTGTCTCAAAGCAAATTTTCTCCATTTCGACACAGCCCCTCAAAAAATAACCAAGGAGAAAAGGCTGCGCCATTAAATTGCCTGAACCATGTACAGGAAACCTTCCTCCCAATGGTCTCGGGAGGAAAACCTCTAAATTTTCACCCCTCACTAAACAAGTGAACCCCACCCTATGGTACATCATCAAACGGTAATCCCAGGATACAAGAGTAGTGGGGCACCCTTATACGCACCCCATTGTGTGCACATTTTTTATTTTAATTTTTTTTTGCAGGGGAGAGGGAGGAATGCTTATTATTATGGGCAGTACACCATTCCCATCTCCCCCCTCCCCTCCCCGTTCATTTAGCCAGAAACTTCTTTCAAAATTGCACACTTCCCCTTCCAAAAAAGCCTTTTGTGTTAATCATTTCCCGGGAGAATTGGTGTTTAATTGCTGCCTAATTTGCATAATTATGCATATTAATCTCCACACCTCATGAATATTCATGGACTCATTTAGATTTTGTTTCCTAATCAAAAAAATTTTTTTTCGCCTCGCACCCCCTCATCTCCAATGTGATTACTTTGCGGAATTGAGGGAGGCAGTAGAAGACAGCGCAGGATGAGGAAAAGCTAACCAGTTCCTCCCGAGGATGACAAGCAATTTTGCTTTGCTAAGGTGTATTTTTAATCCTTTCCTTTCATCCTCCCTCCTTCCAGGAAAAAAAAACTCATTTGCATTTTCTGGAGAAACAAAAATAGGAGGAGAAAAAAAACATTTGCAGAAAATTAGAATGATGGCAAAGGTTACAACGTATGGGTGATTTATGCGACAGGATCCCTACAGGAAAAAGGACTCTGCCCAGATGATGCTGCATGTGGAAAGGCCAAGAGGAAAGGACGGAAGGTGGACAGAAAACAGCCGAAGCTGGTGACTGCAGCTGGGGTGCTTTTTCATGGCAGTGAAGCTTTGCAGTTTTAAAACGTAGTATTTTTAAACGTTGTTTAGGCCAAAAGGCAAATACAGTATTTGTCAATAAACTTGCCAAGAAGGAAGCGGGAAATCTCCAAACTTCAGCACAGAACCTGGAAAGGAAAACAGACGGCGCAAATGCAAAATGCTGTGCGAGACAATATATTTATGACAACATGGAAATGTCACAAAATAGACAAACTTTCCCAGAAATCCTCCGCTAGAAATTCCTTGAACGACAGCAGAGCATTTTAAGCCCCTCCTCCCGAACTACAAAACCCAGGATCCCCCAGTATGGTGCCGTGAGAGATAAAGAGGTACGAACATGCTCTGGATTCTTGAGTGATTCCATCTGCACTCCACGGTTACCGAGACTCTCTGAAATGTCCCTTTTCTTATCACAACTCCTAACCCACTTTCCGGCACATGGAGCCTCCTTCTTCCTCATCTGAACAACCACCCTGTGATGTAGATTAGACAGGAGAGAACGACTGTCATCATCCTGTGATCCAGCTGCAACCGAACGCCAGAACTTGCTAAGGGTAGGCGTGCCGGATGCGATGTCTTAGGCTGTACAATAGAGGGATTAGACAGGCAGGTTCGAAAGAGAGAGAACCGGGTCGAGCTCCCTCGAAACCCCACTGGGAGCTCATGGCCCAGCCCCAATCCTACCTCCCGAAGCCATTATACGGATACCGAAAAAGAGAGAACGAGAAACCAGGCATGCTGCAGCAAGCTCACTGGATGGAGCTTAAGATACAAATGCAATAAACAAACAAACAAATAAACAAACAAATAAATAAAGCCATAGAAAGAGGAAACAAAGCCTCTTCTGTCAAAACTTCACAAATAAAATAAAAATAAATATCCCATAAATCCAATTTTCCTGGTTGGAAAGGAGGAGAGAATTACCTGTTCTGTCTCCCTCCAAGCTCCCCCACCCCACCCCTATTCCATTAATGGAGTTATTAAAATTTGGTGGGGGGGAGGAGAGAGAAAGGATAGCAACCCCACAAATTAATTATGCATTTTAATAACCCTCGCCATGAATATTCATCAAGCCTTCCGTGCTCATGTTCTAATTAAAATGTACTAATAGTATAAGATGTATCTGTCAGAAAGGGGAATGCACGCATCGTCTCCCCCCCCCCGCTTCGCTGTCTTCATTTAAGGATTTCTGAGACGGCGTGCCCCCACAGATGAAAAGGAACGGCAGGTAGGCGGGTGACCCAGAATAGCCGGTTCAGCCCGAGTGCGACACACGGCATTTTACGGGACATGCGGGAAAAGAGGCAGGTTACCCATAAACAAAGAAAAGCTCGATTCGGTGTGCATGAAACATGGATTTGACTCAGTCCTTTGGCTTTTAAAAAGCAGGGCTGGGCAGAAGGGACGTTTTGCATCCACCTGGCAATGTTCCAGAGCTGGGGGGGGTGCGACCGTCTCCATCCTCTCCTGACCCGAAGTCCCTCTACAGGGAGAAAAACAGGTAAAGAAATGGATGAATGTGCACACAGGGCAAAGGGATGCACCCTGGGTTCATCAGACAGGCTGCCCTGAGACCATGAAGGTAAAGGCTAAGGAAGGGTTTCTTATGCCTGCAATACCACCTCTGGCCATGGGTCTCTGGTGGCGCCCTAAAGCAAACTCGTGGATTAATTATTTAATTAACTGAATATTCCTAGTTGCCCTGGCCACCAATAATAAT